GCCAAGTTGCCCAGGTGGGTCTCGAACCCACGGGCTCAGGCAATCCATTCACCTCAGCCTCCCAAAGCACAGGATTACAGGCTGAGCCACCGAGCCCACTGAAATGGTTTCTAAGAAGCCGGGTTTCTCTCTCTTGCTTTCACATCTATCGTTATATTCTTTGAAATTCTCCAAAAACCCTATTTCCCCTTTGATGATCTCCTTTTAATGTTACAGTGGAAATCAAAGTCCTCTAAATGGTTCTTAAGGGACTGCATAATCTGACTGTTCTCCTGTTGCTTTGAAGACATGGGAATATCCTCTTACTTTTTAGAAACTCTATGTTACACTATTTTTAAGTTCTCTTTTGGCATCATGTCTGAAACATGTGAAAAGCGTTGATTTTATTATTTGTTTTAGAACTTCCAGGAACACCACAAAAAGCGTTGATTTTATTATTTGTTTTAGAACTTCCAGGAACACCACAAGCAGCTGTTACATGTTTTTTACTTTATGGTTTTCTATCCTAGGGGGTTTCAAATGCAATTCTATTAATATTCTACTCAATCATTTTACCAGAATATAAACTATCTTCTTAAATATAGGAAAACCTAATGTTATTTTACTTTAAATTCTATTTTTTTTTTTGGACGAACTGAGATTGCTTGTTTAAACTCTACATGCCTAAATATCTTAGAACGTTGGTAAAGCTATATTAAATCCCACATGTTACTTTGTTTCCTAATAACTCTTTTAAGTCTTTTGTTTAGTATGATACTTAGGACTGGGTCTTATATAAATGCACGTATGCATACACAGATACACATATGTGTGTTTAACATCTAGATTTTTTCTTTCACAAAAAGAAATTGTATAACCATTCATTTGTGCAATGTAATGATTTAGTATTTCTATACATTGTGGTTGATGAATTCAGTCAAGTTAGTGAACATATCTATTATCATACAGAATTACTTACCGGTTTTGTTTTGTTTTAGTAGGAGTCTCACTCTGTTGCTCAGGCTGCAGCAAAGTAGCATGCTAATGGCCACCGAAACCTCAACCTGCTGGGCTCAGTTGATCCTTCCGTCTTAGCCTTCCATATAGCTGATAACCCCAGGTGTGCACCACCACACCCAGCTAATTTTTTATTTATTGCAGAAACTAGGTGTCACAGTGTTGCCCAGGGGACTTGAACCCCTGGACTCGGGCAATCCTGTCATCTCGACCTCCCCGAGTGCTGGGATTAGAGGCATGAGCCACCATGCCCAACTTATATTTATTTTTCTTTTCTTTTTTTTTGAGTTGGAGTCTCACTCTATCGCCCAGACTGGAGTGCAGTGGCATGCTCACAGCCACCACAGCCTCGACCTGCTGGGTTCAGGCTATCCTGCCGCTTTAGCCTTCCAAGTAGCTGGAACTACAGGTATGCACCACCACCTCTGGCTAATAGAGACGAGGTCTTGCCATGTTGCCCAGACTGGTCTCAAGCCCCTGGGCTCAGACAATCCTCTCGTCTCAGCCTCCCAAAGTGTTGTGATTAAAGGCATGAGCCACCCTGCCCAACTTATTTTTATTTTTTGTAATGAGAACACTTAATGACTACTATTTTTAAGCATATAATACATTACTTATAGCTATAGTCAATATGTTAGACATTAGATTCCTTAAACTCACTTATCTTATAACCGAAATTTTGTATCTTTTGAACAACATCTCTCATTTTCCCCACCTGCAGGTCCTGGTGACCACCATTGTATTTTTTGCCTCTTTGAGTATCTCATATTTTGATTCCACACATAAGTGAGATCACACAGTATTTGTGTGCCTGGTTTATTTCACTTAGCATAATGTCTAAAGTTTCATCCCTGATGTTGACATGGAAGAATTTGTTGATTTTTTTTGTTGTTATGGCTGAAAAATATTTTTTGGTTTATATTTATCATATTTTCTTTTTTCTTTTCTTTTTTTGAGTCGGTGTCACCCTTTGTTGCCCAGGCTGCACACTCACAGCCCCTGCAGCCTCGACCTGCTGGGCTTAGGTGATCCTTCTGCCTCAGATTTCCAAGTAGCTGGAATTACAGGCATGCACCACCATGCCCACACTAATTTATTATATTTTCTTAATCCATTCAGTATCCATAAACCTTTAAGTTGTTTTCATAGATTGGCCATTGTGACAAAGGCTGCGATGAACATAACGGTGTAGATGCTTCTGTGAGATAATGATTTTTTTTTTTTTTTGAGTTGGAGTCTCACTCTGTCACCCAGACTGGAGTGCAGTGGCTGCTCCTGGCCACCGCAGCCTTGACCTGCTGGACTCCAGCGATCCTTCTGCCTCAGCCTTCCAAGTGACTGGAACTACAGGCACGCGCTACCACACCCGGCTAACTTTTTGATTTATCGTAGAGATGAGGTCTCACCAAGTTGCCCAGGCAGGTGTTGAACCCACGAGCTCAGGCGATTCACTCACCTCAGCCTCCCAAGCCGCGGGATTACAGGCTGAACCACCGAGCCTGGCGAGATAATGATTATATCTCCTTGAGTTATACACACTGAAGGGAGATTTCTTGATTCTGTGGTTTTTTTTTATAAAAAATGTTCATAATCCTTTTGATAATGACTCTACCAGTTTAAAACTCACCAACAATGTACAGGATTTCTTTTTCTTCATGTCCTTGTCAAGACTTATCTCTATTTGTTGATTTTAGCCATCCTAATGAGTGTGAGATGAAATCTCATCATGTTGATTTGTGATTACCTAGTGATTGGTGATGTTGAGCACCATTTCATATACCTGTTGGCAATTTGTATGTCTTCAATCTATTCATTTCTTGCTTAATTTTTAGTCAAGCGATTATCATTTTATTATTTTTGCCTTTGATTTGTATTTGAATACTAACCTCTTGTCAAATATATGGTTTGCAATTATTTTCTCTTATTTTGTAAGCCTTCTTCCTGTTTCCTTTACTGTGCAGAAGCTTTTTTTAAAAAAATTTTATCTATTTTTTTGCTTGGTTTTTTTTTTTTAGTTGGAGTCTCACTCTGTCACCCAAGCTGGAGTGCAGTGGCACACTCATGGTCACTGCAACCTCGACATGCTGGGCTCAGGCGATCCTTCCACCTCAACCTTCCAAGTAGCTGGAACTATAGGCGTGTGCCAGCACACCCGGCTAATCACAAGTTTTTTAATTTGATGTAGGTCAGCTGTTTATGTTTGCTTTTGTTGCTGTACTTTTGGTCTCATCCGCAAATCATTGCCAAGACAAATTTCAAGGAGATGCTCAAAATCTTTTAAGACTTTTATTTTTGAGTCAGGGTCTCACTATGTAACACAGGCTAGAATGCAGTGGCACAATTAAGACTCAAGGCAAGCTGGGCTCGGTGGCTCAGCCTGTAATCCCAGCACTTTGGGAGACTGAGGTGAGTGGATTGCGAGGGTTCGAGACTCGCCTGGGCAACTTGGTGAGACCTCATCTCTACAATAAAATAAAAAATTAGCCAGGTGTGGTAGCGCGTGCCAGTAGTTCCAGCTTCTTGGAAGGCTGAGGCGGAAGGATTGCCAGAGTCCAGCAGGTCGAGGCTGCGGTGGCCGGGAGCATGCCACTGCACTCCAGTCTGGGTGACAGAGTGAGACTCCACCTCAAAAAAAAAAAAAAAAAATTCAAGGCAGCCTTGAGCTATTGGACGCTGATGGTTGTTCTGCCTCAGTCTTCTAAGAAGCTGGGATTACAGGCTAGTGCCAACACACCAGGCTAATGTTTTGGTTTTTTGTAGAAACGAGGTCTCGTTATAACATATTTCCTAGGCTGGTCTTGAACTACTTGGCTCGGGACATCCTCCTTGTGTTGGCCTCCCAAAGTGCTGAGATTATAGGCATGAGCCTCCACATCTAGCTGGTAGTGTCTTATTGAAGGTAACGTGTTGTCCAAAAGACTTATCCTTACTGTAACACATGACAAGATTTTTTTTTTTTTGAGTTGGCGTCGCACTCTGTCACCCAGGCTAGAGTGCTGTAGCACGCTCATGGCCACCGCAGCCTTGACCTACTGGACTCAGGTGATCCTTCTGCCTTAGCCTTCCAAGTAGCTGGATTTCCAGGCATGTGACACCACACCCAGCTAATTGTTTTATTTATTGTAGAGATGAAGTCTCACCAAGTTGCCCAGGCTGGTCTCAAGCCCATGGGCTCAGGCAATCCTCTCACCTCGGCCTCCCAAAGTGCTGGGATTATAGGTGTGAGCCACCACACCTGGCCGACAAGCTTTTGTGATGGTGAATAATCCTCTGTTGTATGTATATATGCCCAATCTCACCATCCATTCATTAAGGGGCATCAAAAGGTTGCTTCCATCTTTTGACTTTTATCAATAATGCTTTTGATTTGTATGAGTATGCAAATATGTCTTTCAGATACTGCCTTGACTACTTTGGATCCATACCCAGAAGTAGGATTGCTGAGTCATAGGGTAAAGTTTTTTTATTTTTCTGAAGAATTTTCATATTACTTTTCATGGTGGCTGCATCATTTTTTTCCCCCTAGGAAAAGTACATAAACATTCCATATTCTCCACATCCTTGACAACATTTGTTATTTTGTTTGTTTGATAGTGGCCTTCCTAGTGGGTATGAAGTTGTATGTCATTATGCTTTTGATTTGCATTTCTGTCAGCATTTCTCATTATGAATATCTTTTAATGCTTGTTGGCCATTTGTATATCTTTGGAGGAATGTCTGTTCTTTTCTTTGTCCATTTTTAATCATGCTGTTAAATTTCTGTTGTTGAGTTTTTAAGAGTTATTTATATATTCTGAATTTTAATGCCTATAAAATACGTAAATTATAAATGTTTTCTCACATTTTTAGGTGATG